CCAGGTCCTGAATGGACTCAAACTTTTCCCTTTTGTGGTCATTTTCACCTTAGGGAAGAGCAGAAAGTGAGAGGGTGCCAGATCCAGGGAATAAGGTGGATGGGGCCCCGTCGTGATGGCTGTACAAGGCTGCCTTTCTGTTGGATGGCACTAGGCAGCAGAATTCACAGTATTTTTTATCATACTTCCTTAAGACACAAGAGGAAACCCACAGCTGCTTCCTCGAGTGGCAAAACCATGGGATGAATGTGTCTGGAGCGAGGGGGAGGATTTGGTGGGGATAAATTTGGATTTGGTGGGCAATGCGGCTTTTACTGTAATAAAGTTTTCAAATATCAGCAATCACCAGGTATTTTGATAACACTGCAAAGTGCAAGGTTGCTCCCCCAGCAGCCGAGGACTGCACCGCATGGCTGAGCAGGGCTCAGACAACACAGGCTTCCCCTGTGCTCGGAGGAAACTCTCAGCACCGTTTGGAGCCATAGGCAAGGCAGCTCTTAAACTCCCACCATGATCAGTTTCCTCCCTTTAAATGAGTCCTGCCCTGCTCTGGAGCTGGGGGCTTCTGCACCAGCGTGGCCCATAGGACCAAAGTTGAAAGGCAGAGGGCTGCCCAGACTTGCAACTCCCTCTGTGTGGAGCATCCCCGCCTTCACTATCAAGGCATTAATGCAAAACGTGAAAAATGCATTATCACCAGGCAGTGAGAGCCCCCCTTCAGTCCTGATGGCAGGAAGATTTTAATCCAGATACCACAGGTGCACCTCTGTTTCATGGGACTCTAACACTTTTAAGACATCAATAGTGCTTACTTCATGCTTATCGCATGTTTCTTCAGCCTGCCTTCTTCCATTATCAAGAAAGTCTGGCAGGTTGCCTGACATGGTCGGGACCATTTTCTGATTTCACAGAGTTCTGTGGCTGAAAGGGAGCTTGAGAGGTCATTCCACCTGCCTCACGAGGTGACAGTCACATGAAAGACAAAGCCTTCTTCTCAAATGAGGACATTCAGAGCCCAGCCACTCCCCAAGTTCCCGCTGCAAGGCACCATTGATTGTAAACACCCCAAGTGTCATAAAAGCCGTGCTGCCCCGTTTTCTCTTAGTGAGTTTTCTGTGGACGTATTTTCCTGTCTAGGGCTCCTTTGTAAATATATCACGCTGTATATTTCTCGGTATTCTTTTAAGTATAATACTGACACAGACTCCCAGTAACCATCCATTTAAAATTTGTCTTTAATGAAACGCAGGCCTCTTACCATCTTAAATCAGTCTGAATCTTATGAACGCCCGTGTCCCCTTGCATGGGCGCAAATATCCTGCTTTCTGTGTCACTGTGTCTATCATCAGAGTCTTTCTAGCAATAACATTTTCTTATATTAAAAGCCTTATAAAAATCAATTGTCTCCCACAGGCAGACAGAAGAAAAGTTGATAAATGCTTTCTTAGAATGATATATTATCATAGTAGCACTATTTTTTCCTGCAGAGTATATAGTCTAAGAATGGCCTGGACACTGAAAGCCAGACCCAGGATAATCCTTCAAGGATCTCAGGGATGTATCCAAGACCACCTTACTTAGTCTTGAAGAGAATGTACTTTTTCCTCCTCCTTTGGCAATAGTACAGCTTTTTATAAATATCAACCAGGTAAACGCTCCATTCTGAGAATCAAAGAGAGATAAACTGTGGGTTCTAGACAAAAATGTTGACTTTGTCACTGTTCCCATTTACTGAAGATGTCTAGGGGACCAGCCCATCCTCTTGCCCTGACCCTTAACTGTAACCTGACAAGAGGGAAGAAGATGCTATGCTATTCTCCTACTCTTCTGTACTCAAGTGGATGGTACCGATTTGTCTTTGGACAAAGTATTCCCGTGGATCCATGGACTTTGCCTTAGAGATGTAACAGGACTGGCGAAGCCCTTGGGTTCTCCCTGGGAAGGGGACAGAAATACCACACCAGCCTCAGAAAGCATAGCACATGGATTTGAAAGTGTGATTTATAAACTACCCACATCTTCTGTTTGGGATCTAGAGTGGCCAAGACCCAGCACATCTGCTCTCTTCTTTTTCCTGTTCTGTTCTGCAGGTCTCCGTTCCCAGTGTTTATGATGGTTTTATTTGAAATGGGAAATGTGAACACATTGATAAATGTACCAAAGAATGATCTAGTTTCTCTCCAGCAACTTTCTTAATAGAAACTTAATATTTTTATATGAAATGTATTAGAATTTGGTGAACTTCTCCACCAAGGACAGACATGGAGAAAGCAAGTTTGGTGTCCTTTCTAACAATTGTCTTTAACTAAATAGAAACCTTCTGTTATTATGGACTGGAAGTTCTGATCGCCTTAACATAAATAGAAATACTAGTAGGGGATTCATCACACACACACACACTGCTTTAGTGAAATCAAGATGGGCTAAGTAACATCATTATTCAGTTTCCTGGGGTTTCTGTGACCAAATGTCCATGCTAGGACTTTCATTTCTTTCTGGAGGTGCCTTCCGGTGGGCAGAAAGCATGGCACGTTGGATGGATCCCCTCTCTTCAGTCCATCTATGGGCTGGTTTAGGGTATAAACTTCAAGAGTAGAATTTGTCTGCACGCAGCCGGAACCCGGGCCAGAGAAGTCGCTTTCTCCTCTGCGCCTGTCCCTGTTGGGTTCCCTCTGAAAAGGTGGCCTCTTCCTGTGTGTGACATAGCATCTGCACATCCCTGTGGGTGCATCCTGTAGGCAGAGGTGAGAAACCTGGCCTTGGAGGAGAGGTGAGGACGGCGACAGCCAGGTGCTCACTGATGAATTAACAAAGCCAAGTGTTTAGAAAAGGAAGAAGCCCGAGGACCCAACTCTGTGAACCAAATGCCGTGTAAGAGGTGGAGGATGGTGAATTAGTCAAGGAAAGAAGGAGTTTGAGGTAGTTGAGGAGAGGAACACTCAGTAGCACTGGAGGAAGCCTAAGGGAGACCAAGACTGATGGGTTCCAGAGAGAAAGGGCTACTGGATTGGAAGTTTCAGGGCGACCAGTAATGTTTGAAAGATAAAAATCACTGAGTGGCCGTGGAGGCAGAAGCTAGTTGCAGTCATAGCATGACTTGGACTGACAAAGCTTTGTGTCAGAGCTGTCCCCTTACATAGCTTGGAGTTGAGTGCTGGGTGCTTCTAAACTCAGTAGCCATGGTGGCAACCCTCTGAAGGCAGGTAGTGCAGCCTTGTTGTCTCATAGATGAGGCCTGTGAGGCCGCTCCTCCAAGACAGGGTCTCCCATTATCTGTGTACAAATGAAGGAACCAAGACACAGAGCTCTGAACCACTTGCCCACACTGTGTAGCCAAACAGTAGCAGAGCTGGCCTCTGTGCCCAGGCTGTCTGGTCTGAGTGTCCGGGCTCTCTGTAGCTCCACAGTGATGGTGGATGTGCCACATGGTAGCTTGAGAACTTCCTAGCGGGGAGAGAGCTCAGTGTGTGGGTCATGGTCTGGGAGACTCAAGAGGAAATGGCACAGGAGCAGCAATGAGGAGAAGCAGAAGACTGACACAGGGATTGAGAGGTTAAGGCTGAGCCCAAGGGGAGGTGGCCCTGTGTGCATGTAGTTCATTGGCTTGCTGTGCTCTTTGGCCATGAGCTTTGATGCTCATGCCAAGTGGGTGGATGTTTCCATTCAGAAGCAAGGCATGGGGCTCAGGGGCTGCAGGGAGGCCTGGCGAGCTGTGGGATGCAGACCCGAAGCAGCACCCAGGCAAGCAGGAGGTGTCAAAGCAAGCGATGACTTGGGACGTTTGCTTCATCCTAGGCCTTTGCTCTTTCAAGCTTTAAAATTTTCTGTTCGGGAGGGTGACTACAAAAACATGTCCCGTGAAAGTCTGTATTTGAGTGATGGACGCTGTCACCAGCATTGGCACTTGAAAACAGGAATGTGTTCTTTAGGCTATTGAAGGTTTACTCAGTAACGAGACATCCGGAATGGGACTCTCTGTTTATAAGAATTTAGGGTTAAAGATTACTCTTAAGAAGTCCCTTAAGAAGAAAGCACCAGTGGCAAGCAATTGACCAGATTATACGTTTGATACTCTTTAATTCACAGAATTAACTAAATAAGGAATGTCTGTCTTGATTATAAACAGCAGCAAACAAAAATCTGTTTTTGTTTTCACAGGTACTTTTAATTTGCTGAACAAATCTTACATATCCACCATCAAGCCAGGTTAATTCAACACTTTCATGTGCAACACTTCCCTTTAAGACAGGTGTCTTAATTAAATAAACTAATAATTTTGCAAGTAGAAGTACAAAAGCATAATTATCTAATTTGCTAATTGTTCCGCTATGTTAATTTGCATATTTGTTAACTGCAACATAAACAAATAGTTTGTATATGTGTATCCTACTGTTAAAATAATGAAGCCACTCTTGGGAGTAGCATCTCCTGAAGTGTGTTAACAGTTACTGCATAAAAAGGACTCCTTTGTTAAATATGCTTGAAAAATGCCAGGTTCGAGAAAATTGAATCGTTTTGTTTCTGTGGGAGGTCTAGGCGCTGGCCTGAGATGCCAGGCATCTGAACTGTTGGGTACCTTGTACTCTGTTTCACATACTGCATGTGGGTCCCCCCTCCCCCAGCCCATCTTTAGTGGGCAAAACATTAAATACCTGTTTCACAGCTGTCTCGATGGTGAATGTTGTCTCAGGAGCCAGCCCATTCTCTAATCAGGACGATGGATTAAAGAGAGATCTGTTTTGGTTCTCTCTCTCTCTCTCTCTCTCTCTCTCTCTCTCTCTCTCTCTCT